GGGCAGTAATGGAAGGGAGTAGCAATTTGGATAGCTCCTAAAAATCTCCTCCAGCTGAACACTCAAGTGTTTGAAAAGTTGGCTTTAGACCCCTCCCCCTGCCTCCCACTACTTGTTTATGGTTTCTACCCATCGGGCAGAGAAACTGGAAAAACTGCCACTCTAGCTCTAATGTTGAAGCAGAGGGAGACACTTGTTTATGAGGTAAAAGTGATGAGCACCTTGAGAGACCATGGTCATTGTTATTTGAGAGTTCATGACAGGAGGAAGGGGAAAACTAGGCGTGGACAGACATGCACTGTAGTCTTCAGCAAATCATAACTTTGAAAGTTCAGAAATAAAATAGAAGAAGACTCAAAAATATTGAACTACTTAAAAATAATATAGTCTGATTGCGCAATCTCTCAAATAACACCCATACAAAGAAAAAGCTTAACAGTGCTTTGAGAGGAGCTAGTTTTCAAAGGGGCTTGTACAAAAGACAGAAAGGACAAATAAAAGTGCACCTGCAGGAGCGGCATTAGGAAGGGCAAGCCCCAAGCAAAAGGACAATGCTGAGGACAGTAGGGAGACTTTTTGTTAAATGTTACATTCTCAGTGAGATCAAAGAAAGCATGGACTCCATTCCACTGATGCCTCCAATAGGGGCAAAGAACTCAGGACAGCAGGCCGCAAACTGCTTGCTATAAATGAACTTCAGGGAATCAGGCAAATCAAGTGATTTGTTAAAAAATGAAGTAAACCATTTTATCCTCCTCCTCTTCCTCCTCTTTCTCCTTCAAAATGACCAAGAAAGTTAGATGGGTTCTATAACATTTAGTCTATGGAGTTTGGGGTCAACCCTGTGATGGTTTGTGAGAAGCTAGAAGACAAGGTAGGGATCCGTGTCCATTAAGAGTTACATCAGATTGATCTCATTGACTTGGCTGGGAACGTGTTTTGGAGTCATAGACCTGGTAAATCAGTGAGACGTTGCAAAAGCATTGCTTGGGATCGTCTTGTGGATAAGATAGAGGAATATAGGATGAAGGTAAAAATAGATATGTTAGTACCTAAATGATAATGAAAAGTACCTAAAGACTACTTCTAGAAAGATTTTTCTGTAGAGAGTAACAGTAATCTGCCCTTAGCCCTCCTGCCTGTTCAGCATTTTTAGTCAATGATTTGGATGCTGATGTCGAAGGCCTTGAAGTTGTGATGACAGGAATCTAAAGAAAAAGTAGATGGATCAGTCAACAATGGAATTCATCAAGGCCTACACAGACTGGAGCGATAGATAGGTTGGGAGGAGAAGAGGAAAAGAGACCAGAAGAACCTTAATGCAAAATCACTGAGGGTGAGGCTGAAAGCCTTCAAGAGGGAAGCCAGGCACCTGGGGGCCAGGGACAACCCTTGGGAGGGGCCAAGAGCGGGGCCCCGAGGGAGAGTGGTGCCCCTTGTAGGGTGGAGGCAGAGCTTGTCTACCTGGAAAACGGGATCAGGGAATGAGGTGATGAAAACCAGGGACAGCAGGTCTAGACTCCTCATTTGAGAGGTTTGACAACGGCGGGAACAAGAGAAGAGAGAGGGCAGTGATGTTCTTGAAACTTATCTAAGAGAAAAGCAGGTCTGAAGATAGGCAGGGCCGTGGATGAGGAGAGACTGAAGATTCTGGAGCAGGGTACCCAATAAGGTGGGCATGCTGGGGTGTGCGAGCTGCTGGGCTTTTCTTGTCAGCACTCAATGTCACATGGGCCTTAACTGCGTCCCATGACCATTAGGTGTTTTCTATTGTTCTCCCATTTTCTCTTGTTCCTTTCTTATGGATCAAACACTTGATGGCACAAGGAGAAGCAGTGGGGAAAGTGAGCTCTCATTTATCGAATGCCTCCCTGTGCCAGGCCTCATGCCAGGTGCTTTACCTAAGTCCCACTTGATTTAATCCTCCCAACAACGCTGTGAGGCATGGAGACCCTCATTCTACAGATCTGAAACCTATGTTTGAAAAAGTTTTATAACTCACCCAATTCACATGGGAAAAAAGTGACAGACTGGCGTTAAACCCAGGTCTGTCAAGTATGAAGCCTGTGCACGTTTCGCTGCATCATACTGTCCTTCATCATAGCTTAGCCCCGCCAGTAACAGGCAGGCTGAGTGTTACCTTGAGGAATTGTTTTTGACTCTATCGGTGATTAAACTGCCATCCTTCCTCCTGCCCAGGGCTCTTGGTTAGAGGGTTAGAAATTAAAAACAACAAAAAAATTCCATGCTAATTAATTTCCAGCCTCAGCTGTGTCCTCCCCCCTCCTTGGTACTATTGCTCTTCTCCACTCCTAACTTTCCTCTTCTCATGCCTCACAGTGACTATTGTAAATCTGTATCCTTTTTTGCTTTACTGTGTCCTTTGAGCAAGCAACCTTGCTCTACAGAGAAGATCAAGGCCATTGGGGAGGATCTCCCTCAACTTCCTGTTTTTCTTCTAGAAACCCACCTGGACTCCCAGCTTGCTTTCCCTTTGTGCTGAGCTGAACCCTCCACTTGGGGCTGCTGATTTCAGCTCCTCTCCTCTCTCTCTAATTCCTTCTCTTCCAGCTTTTTGGTCTTCATGGGTGGTACTAGGGACCCACTTGCTAAACGATGAAAGCTCCCAAAGACTTTGAGACTTCTCAGAAGAAAAAGCATGAAGAAACTGACTGTAGACCATCTTTTTTCTATTTAGTATAGTACCTCCCAGTCATGGCCAAGTTCATGGGCAGCAGAGACAGAGCTAGACTGTGATTCCTAGTGGCTGAGGCCAGTCAGGCAGGAATCCTCTACCCTTGTTAGGCATCTGAGCTAAGGTAGCAAGAGGTTCAGAACCGAGGGGAACATGGAGCAAAGGCCAAGTCAGAGCCCAGTGTCTGCACAGGGAGTAGATGAGGCCTCAGAGGGCAGGTATAGTCCAGCCCATTGGTCAGTGTCCCATGAGGGTTCAGGGCCCAGCATCAGTGGAGCTGGGTGAAGGTCTGAAGTCCAGAGCACATACTCAGGCCCACAAGGGTCACCTTGAGCTTTCTACCCAATCCTCTGGTCTCCATAGAGAGAGAACTCCTTAGGCAGATGACCGTGGGGGAAGACAACCAGGGGATGGGCTAAATCAGGAGAGCTTGCTCAAGGGGAGAGTGGCTGGGAGGCCAGGGGCCTGCTTGTATCAGCCTTGACTGCATTACAGCTCTCGCGGTTGAAATAGCATCACCAGAGAGAAGAGTAGGCTGGCATAGGGGCCTTAGCCCAGTGCCCCTTCAGCCCCAAACTGCCACCCTTCTACACTGGAAAAGGGGATTTACAAAACAGCAAGATAGGGGCTAGGAGTTTTTCTTCTTTTAGACAATACTGTCACTATTGGAGATGGACAACCTCTTTCTAACATGACTGGGTAATTCCCATGGTGCCAGTGGGTAGACCTTTCAGTACCAGATGCCAGTGCTTAGAATATCAGTAAAGGTGGGCAGAGAGGGCTAAGCAGTTTAACTGACTGCCCCCCTCCACACACATACACTCTGTTCTACTCTATTGCCAACTGTGCCTCTGTCCCTGACTCATGGGCTGTTCATAGTCTTCCCCAACCTCTGGGTACCTTACCGCCACAAGTGGCACCATCCTCTGTACCCCAGGCCATGACTCTTTAGCCCCTTTACTTCCGTACCCAGACAAGGAGTCTAGAAGGTGGCTACTCGATGTCACTTACATTCATCCCGTCCCTCTCTTTGACCCAGGCAGAATTAGTCACTAACTGCTCCCATGAAAGCTCCGTGGTTTTCTTTCTTTGTTTTTTCTTTTTTAAGATTTTTACTGGGGAATTGAGGGAGGGGAACAGTGTTGGGGAATCGGGGAAGGGGAACAGACAAGTTGCTGTCCTTTTTTTCTTCAGTCTAGTTGTGGAGGACACCACTTTACTGGCCCATGTTGGTATTATGATCATTGCACTCTTCCTGGCTGAGGCAGTTGGCCGCCGGCCATTGGACAGCTGCTCACGACAGCTCACAGCAGCTCTCGCCAGCTGCTAGCCTCTCACACTGGCTGCTTACAGCAGCCCACTGCAGCCCTATTACAGCTTACGCTGTCGCCGGTGACTCATGGCAGCCCAGCTCCAGTTCGAGTTGTTGTTCACCATCTTAGCTGTAGAGGGGGCCGCATTACTGGTCCATGTGGGAACCAAACCGGTGGCCCTCCTGCTCAGAGCTCGGGCTCCCAAGCCAACTCTTAACCAGTTGAGCCACTCGGGTGCCCCCCCCCCATTATTTTCTTGGCTGTAGTGCTTACAGCCTGTCGTGATTGTTATTTTGTGTGTCTCTCCCCACTCACCTGTGAGTAGCATTGATTACTGTGGCCTTGGTCTTTGTAGAGTGACACTGAATGTCTATGGAGTAGATAAAGGAAAGCCGAGGAAAGCTGCTAGTGAAAGGGACCCAGAATTGAGTAGGCATGAATTTCAAGGGTTGCAGGTATTTTTCAGTTGCCATAAAAAGCCAAGATGTTCTTGAGGCTACAGAGGAGTCAGGTTTGGAGCGGGAATGAAGGAGTAAGGTTTGGTATACAGGGTGTGAGGGAGAGCTTAGGGTTGGAGACATATTAGCATGCTTGAGTGTGGTATGTGCCATCTGTCACCCACGCATGTTTTGGGGGGAGCTGGCATGTGACGCATGAGCTCCTATGTATACAGGGGATGTGTCCATATGTGTGCCTGTCTCTTCTGTTGCTCAACTCTGTGCCTCAGATGTTGACATGCCGGGATGGCACGAAGGATCTGTGGGGGGTTCAAACTGTAAGATGGGCCTGGGGATGGGGCAGGCCTCAGGGAAGATGTCATGTCATTTGGTTCCTGTGAAGAAAGCAGGTGGTCACAGACAGTGACCACAGGGTGCTGCCCGTTGCTCACCCTCCGCATGCCTCCTTCCTTCTGTGCTGCTCCCTTAAGGAGTTCGGTGTCTGAGAGCTGACTGACCGTGGATGCTTTTTCTCCTTTCTCTTCCTTCCTACAGTCGGTTCTGAATGTTATCAGTGAGCTGCAGGAGCAGATGTGTAGGCTGCAGCTGGACATCCACAGGCAGATTCAAGAGCGTCTCTTACTCAGTAGGGACCACCCTGAGGAGGTGGCAGCTGGTGACGGTGTGACTGAGCCCCAGGCCTGCAACCAGGAATGTGCCCATTGGGAGGGGTCACCTGTAGGAACCACTCTTAAGTATATCAGAGCATGTGTGTGGGGTGCGTTTCACTGATGGAGGGGCTGGGGTTTCTCCTAACCAGAACAGAGTGCAGTGGCTTAACGGGGATCTGTTGTTATCTCTGGGCAGAGCTTGGGACTCACTCACTCCCCTCAGGATGTGAGCTGAGCTCTGTGACCGTCACCGAGCAGGATCTCGGTGAGGCCATCCCTTGGACAGGTGGTGGCACTCGACTCCCTCAGGGCTGGGAATGAGGTGTGTCAGGCGTGCTGAGTGATGGGGCATTTGTGCAAAAGGAAGCCTCAGGATTCCCCTTCCCAGGTACAATTCAGACACTGAATCTTGCTCCTGGACTGAAGTTTCATCTCCCGTGGTTTAAAAAAACAAAAGCATCTTCATGATGTTTATCCCCTGTGAGAAAATACGTTTCCATCTGCTATAATGATTAAGTCATCATCTGAATTGCCAGAAAATTTCCCCCACAGAACCACATTAGAGGGACTTCATGACCCTGGGGGTATGACCTGGATTCTGGACTTAGCCCCTCATACTGGTGTGGCCAGGTCCTGTGTGGCCTGGCTGAGGCCTGGTGATGGCAGCTGCACAGAGATGAGCCTGCATCTCCAAGGCCCACCGTCAGAGGACTTGGAAACTCAAGGGAAGGTCAAGGTCGCAGTAGTAATAAGAACTGCAGAAGTTCTGCCTCAGCCCTGTAGGAAGTGACCATATTCAATTATGGAACATGCTGAAATCTCTTACCCAGACTTAGGTATTAGGGAGACATTCATTAGGGAAGATTTTGTCCTACATTAAAGGATACAGGGGAAAAATGAGAGTCAAAATATAAGTGTAGATTTGGATAGGGAAGCCCTGTGAGGGTGCTGGGACATGCCCCATGTTGAGTGGGTTACCCCGGAAAGACTTCTAAAAGAAGTTAAAATGTGCACCAGTGTTTATAGCCAATAATGGGCAACAAAGAGCTTAGAATGAGGTGGATGTGCTAAAGAGACCACTAAGGTAAAAGGCGGTTCTGATGCTTATAGGGAGACCTTAAAGCCCAATGGGGAGGCTCTGTGTTCAAACTTGGGGTTTGCAGGAGCCTACACTGGAAAAGTGCAACATGAGCCTACTGTGCGCACATGCAACAGTGGCCACATTGTGCACCTTTGATGATCTCTTAGCCTGGAGGTCATCATGCTCTGTGTCCCCATAGCGGCAGTCCCTCAGGCAGCAANCTGCTCCTGACAGCTCTAGAATTTAAGCCCCTCAGGCTGTCTCTGAATTAAACATCCTTTTCTCATGTATACATGAAAGGTCTCACAGACCTTTCATGTTGCTGTTCAGATCGGCTCTGGTTTTTCAGTGTATCCTCTGACTGTGCCCTGGACCACACTTGAGCGTGATAGTCCTGATAGGCTCTGACCTGTGCCTTCCTTGATCCAGGGGCTGCTCGTGTAGTTATTGCTGTCACTCCAGGTCCCTGGCACTCGATCTTTTCTGTGCCTCTGTGTCTGTGCTAGGCCTGAGGCAGGTATTGTTTTCTAGAAACAATAAAACAGGTTCTGAGAAACTAAAGAGAAGGGGCTTTGCCTGAGTCTGACTCAGTGCCTGGGCTCTTGCCACCCAGGTGGTCTGCCTCTCTGCTAGGCCATCAGTTACATGCTGCCCCCTGGCTGGGATTTCCATTCCCCCACAACCAGGCTTATTCTTCATGGAGACCAGAGAGGCAGAACTGATTCAAGCATTTCCATTTCCTCTGGGTCCCATCCTGACCTTGCACAACTTTCTCCAGCAGCGAGTCCTTCCTTCCCAGCTTTCCTTCCTGGCTGAACAGAGCTGAGAGCCCCTCACTTCCTCTAGTTATCTTTATCACCGGCCTGGGCCACCTTTGAAGCCCACCCTTGGGTTAGGTCTATGCTCTCTTTACATCTCCTCAGCAAGCTCTTAGGGCAGCCCACATCCATGCCTTTGGTTGTGTCTGCCCTGCCTTAGCAGAGTATGTGTGATGACATAACTAGAAGCCTGTTTTTGAGAGCCCTTCCCCACTCGCATATTTCCTATGTAATATGGAACCTGGAGTCATGCCCTTCAGTTCTCTGAACGTTTTGAATGCTGCCTTCCCCACAGTCAGTGCATCAGGGTCTGACTGTGCATCAGAGCCACTGAGATGCTTGTTAAAAAAATACAGACTCTCAGGGTACACTCCCAGAGGGACTGATTCATGGGACCAAGTGGAACCTGGGAATTTATATTGTTTTTATAAGTGCCCCAGGTGATTAGGAAGTAGCCAATCCATGGACTGGCTTTGGAAACTGTTGGAATTGAGCACATGTCTGACTGATCAGGTCCAGTCTCGGCCTATCCATCATCAGGAACTTAAAAATCGCATTCTCCATCTCTCAAGGTTGTGATTATTTCTACTTTACCAGCCAGTTCTTTCAGAATTCCTTGAGGATTTAGCCTATATTTCTCATATCCCTCCTTCCTGAGCTTATTTATAGGGCATTAGTATTCAATGGTCAATGAATGAATTAGATTTCAAACAATTTCTAGGACATACTTGTATAAACAAACTGTAATCAGAAATTTATTGGGCACTTGGCTTTTAACTAATTGAAACTTCAAAAGATGTCTCAGTCACTGAAGCCTCCCATGACTTTTCTGACTTGTTCATGTTGAAATCAGTTTTATCTTTCATGTTATTTTTCTTCTGGGTCTAACTACAGTTGATTCCCTTGGTAATGTTGCTTTAATGTTTCTTTTTTCTATTCTCACTCAAATGCATTCCATGGTGTTTCCCTCAGGCTTGTGG